GCCAAGCGCCAGGGCGCGAACGGGATCATTTGCAAGCCAGCCATGCTTTATCCACTCTTTGGCATGCCGCAAGGTCATAACTACTGCGGGACCTGGACAGTAGACTTTACTCCAGCGCGGACGAACTGCTGTGAACTCATCACGAGTATTCCAATGCCAGCGTGGAGACTTCGGCGAGGCGGGATAGGTCATAGACCTTGCCACAATCCACAGCGTCCTGTTGGCGACACCCATATTTATCCTCAGCATCTTGAGCAAAGAACGGCCGGACGAAGTCCGAAACATCGTTGCCAGTGACCAGGGACGCGCGCTATACGCCTCCAGCATCCGACTGGCATGTTCGGCAGTGGATATACCTATCTCCTGCATGATAGCGAAGGTGTCTCTACCCGGTGCTGACATGGACTACAACCCTCTAGCTTATGGGCCTCAGTTGGGCTCTCGACTCCACCTCTCCCATACTCAGATCAACATCGTCGGGTTGTTCGGCAACAGTGAGTGACCATTACCAACAGGTTCGCTCGGCGCTCACCACCTGCGACACACAGTCGGCGTGTACAGCACTGCGCCGATATGGGGCGGCATCGTCGACCGCAAAGGTCCGCAGATCATGATGGTCATCGCTTTCTTCGGTCTGCTCTCGGGATACCTCGGCATCCGCCACTTTTTCGATACCGGCATCCCTGATGGAGAAAGCATCGGCCTACTATCTTTCTGCGCCCTCACATTCTGCGGCTTCCTCACAGGGATCGGTGGCAACGGCGGGCTGGTCGGCGGCATGAATGCCACGGCGAAGAGCTGGCCAGATCACAACGTGAGTCAACTCGGTTGCGGCGGTAAGTATGTAGTTCGGAGAAGTTGACGACGACGCGCAGCGTGCTACCGCGAACGGAATCGTCATCTCGGGCTTCGGTCTCTCAGCATTCCTTTTTTCCACCATCGCGCATACACTCTTTCCGGGAAACACATCCGAGTTCCTCCTCACGCTAGCAATCGGCACCGCCCTCCCGATGATCCTCGGCTTCTTCTTTATCCGTCGAATACCGCCACCGCACATAGACACCACCGCCAGGGTTGAGCGTGGGTCCATCGAAGACGCTTCCGAATACGGCGTCGGCGAAGGCCTCGGCGCGGGCTCCCCTACGACGTACTCAGTAGAGAACAACAGCCACACGCACCTGCTTGCCCGGGACGATGAAGACGACGAGCTACGAGAATCGGCCATCGAGCTTGACGAAGAGGAGGAGCCGCTGGTATCGTCGGTGCATGCGCAGGCTGCGTCCGACTACGTCGTGCCGGCCACGTCGGATGCCGTCATGCTCAGTCCGACTCACGAAGGTTTCGCTCGCCACCGGTCACACAGCGCACGGTCGCACTCCCGGCGGAGCGTCAGGAGCCAGCTCGACAAGCCCGATGGAGTTGTGAACATCCACGGCAAGCGCATGTTTGCCACGCTCGACTTCTGGATACTGTTCTGCATGATGTCTCTGCGTAAGCTCTCTGTCATTCTTCTCCGCGCTCCGCCACACTAACCTGCTGTCGCAGTGAGCGGTACTGGGTTGATGTGTAAGTCCATACAACAGCGATTGAGGTGCTGGCTGCTGAACGCATTGCAGATATCAACAACGTCGGTGCTATATCGCAGTCGCTGTTCGCGTTCAACAACCCCGACTACGACGAGGTGAAGGCCGCCCAATGGCAAGCGACACAAGTCTCCACAGTCAGCTTGATGAACTGTCTGGGACGCATCTGCATCGGTGAGCAGCACACGAGCCCTGCTTCCACATACATCAGCTGAAAGTGCCATCTCGCAGGTATCATCGCGGACTTCACCAAGACCAAGCTGCACCTCCCGCGCTCCTTCTGCATCGTCCTCGTCGCGACGATGTTCGTCATCTCGCAGCTGACGTGCTTCGCCATCGAGGACATCAACCACCTCTGGAAAGCCAGCGTCCTGCTCGGCCTCGCATACGGCGGGCTCTTCGGCCTTGTCCCCACGGTCGTCATCGACTGGTTCGGCCTCAGTGAGTGTTCAATGCCTTCCTGCACCTCATACCTGTATCGCTGACAACGTGATGCTGCGAATCGAACAGCCCACTTCTCGGAGAACTACGGCTTCCTCTCCATCTCGCCCCTCTTCGGCGGGAACATCTTCTCCATCATGTTCGGCCGCAACCTCGACTCGCACGACACCGGCGACGACCTCCCCGTCTCTAGCAGTACCCTTGCCTCCACAACCCTCTCCGCTGTGACACGTCTCGCTTCCCCTTCCGCAACACCAATAGTAGGAGAAGCGCTCAACCTCACCTCCACTGCTCTCCCGATCAGCGCACGAGGGGGGATCCCGTCCTCGCACCACTGCATCATCGGCCGCGAATGCTACGTCGACAGTATCAAGATCACAATCGCCGCCACCATCGTCGCACTCGGCCTGGGGATCTACGCGAGCTGGCGAGACCTGAAGAAACAGCGGAAGTGGGCCAGCCGGAACCAGGGAGCGCCCGCGGTGGTTATATGGGACAGCGAAGACTGAGCTTTGATCTTCGGAGAGCCACGTGGTTATATTCAGGCGACGAACATAGAGTCATAGAGCATCTTATTTCTGTACATACTAGCGACTTGTTATGAGGCTTTCTCGGCGTTATTTGAGGGCACATTCAATGGTGGTTTCTGCATGGACGATGTTGATTGCGGACAATGAGGATATAGAGTACACATGAAAGGAGGCAGCGTGCAGAGGCACAGGATGGCAAGCACACTGAACATATGCAGACGCGACATGAATACAACGCGGATCGGCCATGATTCAGCGCAGACGACACTCAGAAGTGGACAGAAGTCGGCGGTAACAGCGTAGGCAACAGGCTCGAAGGGGGCCTAACCACCACCTATTCAGCAGGAGCAATCAGCAAGACGAACTCACCAGCGTCCCCATACTGGCACGTCCCGTGCCTGTACATGAAGTTATCTTCCCGGTGCACAGATCCACACCCCGGGTTCGCGCAGCACTTCTTGATCCGCTGGTGGTTGAACCGGACATGTCGGCGGAGGTCGTTGCGCGGCCTGAACTCCCCGCATCCCGGCCACTCGCACTTGACCCTGCCGTCGGCGCGGGGGTGCCCAAGTGCCGCTTGATGCTTCTTGAGGTGGTCCCACAAGTCGTTCGCGGCCATGGGAGGGAGGACGTTGCCGCCCCAGGTGTACTGTATGACGGTGGTCACCGGCAACCACACTGGTTCTGCGACTTCGGAGGCGGGAGACGAGGCTCGAGACTCTGAAGACATGCTCCAATCGTCATCTTCATGCTCCGAAGTTGACATCAAGGAGGATGTCGACTCGGAATCGCTGAGCTCGGTGTCTGCCTGGGGTTCTTCGACCTCGGAGGAGGGAGACGAGGCTCGGGACTCAATGAACATACTGTAATCGTCCTCCTCTGGCTCGGGGGAGGTATCGAGCGAAGTGTTCTGAAGTTCTTCGTCTTTGCAGGCTCGGGAGGACGTTCTCTGCTCGTCGTCCTCCGGTGTTGAGGGGACGGAGTGTGAGGACGAACCACTGGTCGAGGTGTCCAGTTCTGAAGTCGGGGAGGTCGTCGTCTGCGAGGGCGAGGGCGGCCGGGACGAGGCGGGTGAGTGAGCAGGTGAAGGATCATACCAACTGACCCAACGTCTTGGTCGCGAGTTAGAGAAGGTACAGTCGGAGAATGAAACTGAGTACGCACTCCTCGCGCTCGCCTTCCGGAAGATACTCCCGTGCCGTTCCGCCAAAGGATATGCTTGTTTGTTCGGCGTCGAGCCAGACTTGGAGTTGATGGGAGAGACCGCTATCCTCCCCGTAGATGCTGCTGCGTAAGCATGTTAGACGGTGCGTGCAAGTAGAGGTGGTTGCGCGTACGAGAACTCGGGGGCATAAGGGTTGTACGCGGCCATGGTTCAGCAACACTTCGCAGAACAGAAGTTGAGGTAGAGTCGGATCTGAAGGCCCGGATGGAGGCGGTATGTCGAAGATTGGCTTGCGGACTCGGAGCCTGGGCAGCCATGGCGTATATATACCAGGAGAAGCTGAGAGACCTACGCATCTAGAGGTGACCATGACTTGCGCTTGGGCTGCACGGGGCTGCGATCGGGGGCTGCGTTCATACAAAGGCCCAATTGACAAAATCTTTGCCGATATCGGTGTCGGTGTGATGCAGGGTAGAGAGCGACCACATTGACAAAGGAGCGTTCGCCGTTTCCTGCGAGCCACAGCAGAAGCAGCACATCGTCACGGTTTGGCAACCGCAGCCGTCTAGCCGAGTCGTTCCACGCATGGCTTCCTGTGGTCCAACTCTGTAGTACGTTGCGAGGGTTCCGGCTTGCATTAAGACAGTAACACTGGCAGGCGTTCGTTATCGGGATGTCCTAGCAACGTATCTCACCTTCCTGTGGCCTGCGGAAGAGCCGATTGTACCACGATACAAAGGCTCCATAGCCGTTGGAGAACCGACGCGCTGTAGATCGTCGATGCCAGGATAGGCCCCTCCTGCTTGCTTTCTGCTGTGAGTAGGATCAATATTTGCCTGAGAGAGAAGCACGATGAACTGGTCAGTGGTCCGGAAACCAGGTGGTACGTCTGAGTGCGGACCTATCACGATTGACCCGGCTACTTCGTAAGTAGCATGCGGGCTCGAAAGGTGAGAACGGTGAGGGCTTCTTGAAGTTCCACGACCCCGACCTATCTATCGGAGCCAACTCAATGGTTGCATTCAAGGAGTGATAGAGGCAGCCCATAGAAGTGCTTATTGTAGCAGTCCTCCAAGAGGTGGATGCAATCCATGTTTCGTCCGCGACAACGCCGTTTCTGCGGTGGCAGGGTATGATGTCGCGTCACCCGGAACACGGCCCCCGGTTCCAGTCGATGAATTGCACAGAACTTGTGCCCTTGTACAAGTCAGATTACCATCATTCGTGGATCGGTAGTAGGAAGGGAAAGTACTGAAGGGAGATACGCAAAAAGCTTCCGACTACCCCCGGCGGGACTCGAACCCGCAACCTCCAGATCGCCCCAAGATTACGTAAGCAATATAGGTAAGACCCCCTGGTTAGAAGTCTGACGTCATAGCCATTAGACAACGGGGGCTTCCGACGTTCTGGCCAAAGCAATTATCTTTGGACATTCCTGATACCAAGGTCAGGTATTACTGGTTACTATCCCAATGCCAAGGGCGCGGGGATCGTGGAGAGTCGTCAGTGACGTTCGCCAATGTTGCAGAGACGCATGTGGAACCTCCCTCTCACCCGGGCCGCCACATGCACGCGAATCAGGGAGGACGCATCAATGGAAGTCCAGGCCTCCTGGCCAGGCTAACTTCAAGTGCCATGCTTATAAGGCTATCTGACCTACGGAGTCGGAGTTCCTGACTCTACTTACTCCCACTCTACGCCGGCCCTCAGTGGAAGGTCATAGCTTGTGAGTAGCCTCTGGTACCGTCCGTACACCTTAGCTTAACTTGCAAACAGCGACGATGGGCTCTTTTCTATCCCGTGGATTCAACCCCCAGACCGACGTCCCAGACTTGACAGGAAAGGTAATCCTGGTGACAGGCGGAAAGTGAGCTCTACGATCGGAATAATGATCTCAAGTTGGCACTTCCTCTGACCTCTATAATGTCCATAGCTCGGGTGTCGGGTTCGCCGCCATTCAGCAACTCGCACGACATGGTGCGAAGGTCTACATGGGTGCACGCAGCGAGCAGAAAGCCAATGCGGCTATCGAGCGATTGCACGCTGAAGGCCTCGGGCCTGGAAACGGCCAGGTTCTGTGGCTAAAGCTTGACCTGAGCGATCCACGCCAAGTTCAAAAGGCCGCCCAGGAGCTCGAGGCGAAAGAAGAGCGCCTGGACAGTGCTGGGTACGTCTCGTTTCGTCTGTGCTATGTGCTGCACCACAGATGAGCTCAAGCCATCTCTCGACAGTGAACAATGCCGCCGTGTGAGTACAACCTTCGATCGGATAGGCCGACGCGTCTCATAGGGTGCTACATCAGTCTACTGGTCCCTTTCGCCAAGGATCACGATAACATTCAGAATATTGTCATGGTCAAGTAAGTCTCATCGCCGACACGACCGCGATCCCAGCTAACAGCGCAATGCCACAGCTACATTGGAACCTACCTGCTAACGCGGCTCCTTCTACCACTCCTCAAGCGTACGGCCGAACAGCCGAACAGCGATGTTCGAATCGTGGCCGTGAGCAGCGATTCGTAAGTCCTGTCAACTTTTACGGTTCTCGCCTCCTGCTATACCTCTTCACCTCCCAGACATTATTCCTGTCCCTCCGATGTACGCTTCCGCAACCTCGATGACCTCAACGGAGATTTTGCGGACACCATGTTCCCGCAATTCCTGCGCTACGGTAGGTTGACACTGTGCATTCCGCTTCCGACTCTTCATCGATACTCTTCTGACACGGTGACACAAAGCGTTCTCTAAGACAATGCAGCTCATGTTCACAAAGGACCTACAGCATCGCCTGGACGAAGCAGGCATCCCCATCCTCTGCATAGCACCCGACCCAGGCCCAGTCCGAACAGGTACGACCTTCTCACTTCCTCACTTGAACCCCACTCGCCATCACTCCTGGGGCTCACTCCCCCTCCCACAGAGGGCGTGCACGCATACACCGAGTCCGTCGGGCCCATCGTCGGAGCCCTATACCGGCTCATCGCCCTCCTCACCTTCCAAACACCCGCCCAAGGCGCACGCAGCACCGTTTTCTCCGCAGCCTCGCCGATACCCCGCGCCCAGCCGAACAACTACCGAGGAGCGTTCCTCGGCTCCTCTTGCAAGGTGGCGAAGCCAAGCAAGACTGTCCAGAAGACGGAGCTGCGGCAGGAGTTGTGGGATACGACGGAGAAGATCCTGCGTGAGATCGGGTTGGAATTACCTCCCGTTTAGTCTGTACTAGTAGTACAGCAAGGACACTTGGGAGTATGGTACCGATACATACGCGCTACTAGTACACACAAGGTCGATAGTCGTATTGGATACTTAGTGGAGACCGCATCAAGGGACACATTGTGCAGAATAGCCCCGAATGCAGGGCTGAAAGGCTCTACTCCCAAGCCTTGAGCAGCTTCTCCGCTTCCGCAGCCTCGCGCTCGATGATACTCGACGCCTCCGGGAACCGCGGCCGCACACTCAACCCAAACGGCACAGGCTTCCGCGTCAAACCCAGCAGCTCCATCTTCTCCATGTCTGGCAACACCGGCTTCCCGTCCTCGCCCTTCACAGGCTCGATATCGAACGCCCAGAGGACCCTGCGCGAGAGGTCAACGTTCAGCACACACGCACACTACGGGTCGGGAGACGCACGTACCTCGCGACAGCGATGTAGACGGACTGCTGGGCGACGTGCATCCCCGGGCAGTGCCTCCTCCCGAACCCGAAGGGCAGATCTGCAACGCGCGTGTCTTGCATCCCTAGGAATCGTTCTGGACGGAACTCTTCGGGGTCCGGGAACATCTCCGGGTCCTTCAGTATCGTGCTGTCCGCCGTCCTCGCATCAGGCCACGGCGACAGTAGAAACAACGAAGACGCACTAGAGATTCCCGATAACAGTCGCGCCCTTGGGGATGAAGTGGCCCTCGTATACGTCATCTGCTGTCACGCTGTGCGGCACAGCGAGAGGCGCGACGGGGTGCCACCGGTAGACCTCCGTGATGAAGGCCTCAAGGTACGGGAGGGACCGTTTGTCCTCGAACGTTGGGAGGCGGTCCCGGCCGACTACGCGGTCCAGCTCCTCTTGAACCCGACGTACGGACTCCGGGCTGTGGAGTATCGCGCCTGCATGGGAAGGGGTATATCAGCGTCCAAAAGGATAAGAGAAACGGCTCGAGGGCACCAACATAGCGCGATCTCTAGAGTAGCAGACGTCTGGCAATCCCTCGTGAGCGCGAACTGCAGCAGGAGATAGGAGAACATACGGTATCGATACCAGCACCGAACGGGGCATTCAGCGCAAAAGCGAGCTCGAGGTCGGAAAAGCCAAGCGACTGCTGGTCCTTCAAGCCGCGTGTCGCCATGCACTCCTTCGCCGTGCCTGCTTCCATGCGGTTCTTCACGTCCGTCAGCAGCTCCATGTACAGTGATGCAGCCCTTGCATAGGCTTTGTCTGCATCGCGGCGGAACCATTGAAGGAAGCGCTGGAAGTGATGCGGTGAATGTCAGGCTAGGCGATCTCATTGACGCTGTTGAGGCTGACCGGTAGGTACAACAATGCAGGGTACTGTACGGAAACTGGTGAAATGTCACAGACGAGCAAGGTGAAGGTACACACCTTATCCACGGATTCCCTGGAATACTATGTACGAGATGCAAGTATGTTTAAAGTCATCCATGCAGGAGTAATAGATAGCGAGTACTCACTTAGCTTTCTGAAACTCTTTCAGTCACAACATAGTCGCATGAGCAACACATAAGGCAGTATGGTTCAGAGCTCCTCACCATGGCCGCACTCAGCGTTGCGCTTTAAGATCGGGGTCGTCAAGGTTGGGCGTACGGCGGCCATATGCAATGGACAATACAACTGATGTGGCGAACCTGTCAGATATGGGCACGCGTCAGCGATGCCGATGAGAGGCGTGAAAGATCACTTACAGGCTCAAGTGGTAGGCGTAACGCTCCGGTTCACGCAGCAAGCCGCGCAGAAGCAGGGTGGACTCAAGCGCCTGATGTTCGCAGTACCCGAGGGAGGCCTTCCCGCTCATGCCCGTGTTCTGAATCTGCATGCCCGCGCATGAGTGACTCGGTGAGCCTATCAGTAACAATAGTAACGGTGAGACCCGTCCCTACCTTCCTCCACGTCCTCCAGTGCTTCCCGTACGGCATGGTCACGCCACGCATGCCTCCAGAGACAATCTCATGGGCGAGCACAAGACGCGGCCGGCTCGAGTAGATTTCTCCCCGCTTCTGCAGGAGGTCCCACGCGATCTCGGCTTTGTTGATGACTGTCAAGTTCCAACTCGTCAGTTGTCGGATGAACGCCCGATGAGCTGGCCGGCACTTACCAACAACGGGTGTGGGTCCACGGTAGAAAGAGAAGATGGGCCCTACAACGATATGTCAGTCGATCTCCCGAGGCTTATGAAAGTCCTACACTCACCGTAGTCTTCCTTCAGCGCATCGAGAATGACCCACTGCGGTGCTTTGGGGCCTACCTTCGCTATCCCTTGGCCCAGAGACTGCGGTCCCGGTGGCAGGCTATATCTCCTACGCTGCAGAAACAACCTACTAGCTAGCCACAGTAAGAGCACTCCCAGAACAGCAAGAGGCACGCTGCTGAACATGGTGAAGTCTGAGAACGATGCTGAAGTAGTCGAATGGTGGTTACAAATTGAGGCGAGTGGACGTGGATTCAGATCAGTCCTGCAGAGCAGTTCGACGCCCCCCTTTGGCACCATCATTCACTCATGTGAACGCGCTCATGGCTTGTGCCGAACTTCGCCGTAGCTACTAACCTGTATCGGCGATGGTCAGCTGGGACTTCCTCACGACTTCCCCATCCGGTGAACCATTCCAGACGTACGCATCAAACGAAGGAGGATCATATCACCTGGTGGGACTCGTCGAACTACGATGCAGTTCCAACTTCAACTTATGTTCAACGTTAACGTGGCTCCCACTCTCGGAGAAGCCCGAGACTATTACGTAATGGAGATGCTATCAGTTAGTAGACGCTCGTCTCTCTTATTTTTATTGTCAAAAAGTTTGTCCCACATCGCTGCTGGGTCCCCGGTCTCAACAGTTTGTCAACGCAACGTAGCTTAAAATGTTGGGGGGCTACGCCAAAGGAACGCGGTGGGTGCCCGTCAGGCGGCTTCTACGAGGAGGCTTCCACAACTCGTTCTCGAGAGTCGAAGGTTCGAGGTCAGTGTAGGTACCCCGCACAGAATTGCGTTAACCATCGCGATGCTCATCCAAGCATTGCGGACTCAGATCGTTGTCCTTGACACGCTATGATCCATTAGTATCTGCACAAATGCTGCATTGACGGGCGAGTGGGTTCTCTACTTAAGTAGTGGACCGCGCCCGCGCCCGCCGGCAAGCTGCTGACGTTCTCCTCACCGAGCTCACCGATCGC